AATGAACAACAGTTCTCTGCCTTACTATATTTAGAAGAGTGGTCGATACCCTGGGAGTTACATTCGTAACTTAATGTTATGTTGACACAGTGATATTCTATCTTTCTAAGAGTACTGCCCTGTATGTAGTCTATGTCTGGGGAGCATATTTGACAGGGATAGACACATGCGATAGAGAGGTCTCCCCACTTCGATTCTCACTCCGTTAGCATCTTTGATCTGAGATCAAGGGATTACTCTATTAGGTCCGATGCCGGTCAATAATGGACCTACTTACCTTGCTTGTAGACCAGCAGTGGAGCTAACTCTACTACCAAGACGATTTCTTTATGCCCATCAAAGGACCTCGAGATGCTAATCCATGAAAAATGATGCGAGAAATTATAAAGAACTTATATACAAAATGAGGGCGACCTGTGAAAATACATCGATTTCTTACTCGTGCCAAGGAACAATTTCTTGGCAACTTGGACAACTTATAGTGATGCTTGTCTCGCATATCACTAGGAAGATCGAGATCTTTACTAAAGGCTTTATAAAGCTTTCATCTCAATTCATATTTAGCCACGAGCAATCTACGTTTGTGATCATGTATATTTCGCTTCTCCGACATCTTACTGAGTTTCCTTCTCAACTTTTTTGTAAAAAGCCGCTCCATGGTAGTAAAGTCTCATCTTATGTGTTGGACAAAGTGACAACGGTCACATTGAACCCTCAAATTTGTTCGAAGCTCTCGAAACGATCTTCCAGTTCTAGGGAGAATTTGTAAAACTCCATTTTCATCGAGAATTGAATGGAGTTTTCCTGTATTTCGATTGGAGAATCTAATTAAGACATTTGTGTGGAGATTCTAACCAAAACATTAGATATTCCATGCCCTCAGAGAGTGCTTTGTCATGCTAAGTCACTAATAAATCCTTTTTTATTTAACCCCAAGAATGGATTGGATCAAAATGACTTTCCTTTTGAAAACCATTGTGTCTGTATTAATTTCTGATCACACGGAATCTCCATAGCAAATTTTCCATTTTTGATAGAAGGTGCTACCTTTGATGCTACTTTTATCTTACACAATCCAGGAACTTCCATAATGTTGGTATGATTCAGTTTGAGCAA